CGGTTTGCACGGTTAGGGTTTACGTTTGCAGAACACCATTGGATTTATTCAGAAACTGATAGTGGTGTAGCATATATACACATTTTTAGACTACACGTACAATAGAGCAAAAGTTTCCAAACACAGGGTGTTTTAATAAGGCGCTCACGTTCAGTTTAAACCAGTGAACTCTAAAGCCCCGTTTACACTACGCTCAATTTTTGGTACGGCACGGATAAAATCGGTAAGAACCAAAAAAGTGGTACGGTACCAAAAATTGAGCGCAGTGTAAACGGGGCTTAAGGGAACTGAAAAGATAACTTAGCCGCCACCTTTGAAGCCCCTCATGATGGCCGCCATGTACGTAAGGCATGTACGTATATAAAAAACCGGATGGCTAATAAAAACTTGAAATTCGGATAAATTTATAGTAAAAAATGGTTTATATTTTCCTTTGCTCCATAGAGTTAGTAATGCATAACCACAGTTTTGTGAGGCAATAGCCGAGACAGACTGTAGAGTTTTGAGTAGCACTTATACATGTTATAATACTTTTTGTCCATTTGGTAACCTAAAAACGTTGCGCTGGTGTGTACGTATTTTCAGCACGTCATAATAAGACATGTTCAGGCTGTTAAATATCTGTCAATTTAACATTTGATAGAATTTTCGAGATTTTTTATGTGAAGTCAATGGTTTCACTTAGTAAAAATGGTCCTCATGTTGTTACACTTTCATAAAAGAATGTCTTTTTTTTCTTTAAAATTCTTCACCGGCGCTTAGCACCTGGGAAATTACCCGCTCTTTTTTTAATTACCCGCTCCTTTTACCCGCTCCTTTTTTAATTACCCGCTCCTTTTACCCGCTCCTTTTTTAATTACCCGCTCCTTTTACCCGCGACCCGCTCCTTTTACCCGCGACCCGCTCCAATTAGATACTCCCCAATACCGTTACCATGCATGGAATTCAATGAATTGTGACTAAAATGTGGCACTACAAGCCTTTAAATCTGATTTTAAATATACGCGATTTTGCAGCCAGATTTTAGCTATTTCCTAACGCACGCACACGCAAACATTGTACAACACACAGTACACGAAAATTATCCGTGTGCAACGAAATTGCTAAAGGACCTAACAAAGGTGAAGAAATTATGAAAATATAACTGCGTACGCAGCTTGATCCTGTCTACAAGTTGAATTAAGTTAAGTTTAAGAGTAATGGTATTACTTCAACAGACAATCTTTGACAATATAGATTGGGACGATCTAGTTTTCACATGCATTCGGTTGTAATATACCATTCTCTGATACATATTTTCCGCCCTCCCTCTCCCCACCCGTTTCAATGTTGGCGCCGCGTATCCAGACATCAGATTTTTGTTGGCCCAACATTGAACTGGGGGAACGGGGGCGCTATTCCTTTCAAATTATATGAAATTACAGCAGCTGTCCCATGGTTTCTGGCAAAGATTGTAGTCGCATCAATTTTTCGATAAGCAAACTTTGTTTGTCTTGGTTGTTCTTAAAACATTTGCAACAGACATTAAAAAAACCTAGCCACCTGGAGTAATACCAAGAACGTCAAGTCGAAGACATTGAAATGAAACGTGTTACCATTGTCCCGTAAAAAATATCCCTTTACTTTTATGTACCAATTTGATTCAACCACCTTAAATCGTGCTCAAGAAGAGAACGTCTGCAAATTATCTTCCGAATACTGAGTTTGGGTGACTGGTATAGTCGCTCGATGTATCTTCCCGTTGCAGATCCACGTCTCCTGACCCAGACAAAAGAGCGAGACATGCAGCTCTATCTCGACATGAAAGCAGAAGAACGAAGACGGCATAGAACTTCATGTCCTGCTGTTTTGTTTAGGTCAGGGTAAGGATTAGGCTCAGCATTCGTAAACAGCCAGACACGAATCTATAATCCGTCTTCGTTTAACAACCAACGCTGACCGGCCTGACCCCAAATTCAGTACGCGCAAGATAAAGCCAAGACAGGCAAAAGTTGTCAAGTACATCTTTGTCTTTGTCTTGGTAGTTCGTTGTCCTGCTCAAACTCTCTAATGCCGTCGAGAGACTTCGACCTAAACTTTACTTTTCAATGAAAAAATCTCAACTCTCTTATGACAGTGAGGTTTGGTAATTTCTCTCGTACACAAGAAAACTGTAGCCTGCATGCGTAGCAGGTGGTGTATAGTGGGCACGGGAAAGTCGAGAAATGAGAAGTACCGCCTGCCCAAAAACTAAGAAGACGGCACCAATTACCCATACGAACAGGCTTTATGATTTGCTTTGTGGTTGTCCACAACAATAAAAGACAATGAACCATACTTTCTCAAGAATGAGTCATAAACACTGATCACTGTTGTTTAATGAAGCCAATCCCAGAATACGATCATTTTAGGTTGGTATTTACAATGGGCAGGCGGTAATTCTTGTTGCCCGCCGTTCTTTTGTGCCCGCTAATACAGTTAATGACAATGCTAAAGTTAACAAAATGACAATCCTGTATTTTAGAAAGACCTATTCGCCTGTACAAGCTAAACCAGTTGAGATTGTGCGTTCTATATGAAAGCCTTACAAAAATTGTGTTGTATTTCCTTCTGGGCGAGATCTAGCCTGCGCAGCGGCTCTCAGGGAAAGTAAAGCCTGCACGAAACCCCATGCTTTGCCATTTCCGCCCACTTAGCCTGCAGGCTACGCCCACTTTAAACAGATGTCAAAATTGGCCAATCACACAGATTGTTTACGTTTGCAAATTTACTTGTCAAAATGAAATATAAATATAGATTGCTGTATGTTCGCAAATTTCAAAACGAAACTGATATACGGATGTCGGCTAAAGAAAATTGAAGTCTGTGGGAATAGCGCTAGGCCTAGGGCAATCTCCATCGTTGTCACAAGTAGTTTGCAGTCCGTATATCTACGATATTTCGTAGCTTTCTCGCACACGTACATATATAATTTATAGTTTTGACAGCGGTCAACCGTGATGTATTAAATGTTATTAAAGTTTCGAGCGATGCAGAGAAGAGAATATTAAAGGTGTCTAAAGCCATCACTTCAGAAGACAGCAAGTCCTGTTCATAAGACAGCAAGTCCTGTTCATAAGACATAAGCGTTTACAGCAATTCTCTCCTGGCACAAAATTATTAGCTACAAAATCATGAAGAAAAAATCTATTTGTCGTCGATGAATTGATGAAAACGAACACGCTTGTGAAAGAGGCGCTGCTAACAGACATCAATCCAACGAAGACACCACAGTTAATCTCTCTAGAGCTTCGTGAACCAACTTCGTAAATACTTTTATTGTTGAACCGTAAATCGTGGCTTTAAGCTCTTTTGAATGCAAAAATCAAAGAAACGCCTCTCAATAATACATCCGCCGTATTTGTATGAATTTTAGCATAAATTAGCATATTTTTTTCATTTTGAACCAATCAGATTTCTCGTCCTCTGAGAGAACGAGTAAATACGGCAAAGCAGGGGGTTTCGTGCAGGCTGTCCTTTCTCTGATAGCCGCTACGCAGGCTAGGCGAGATCTCGCTCTTAAACATCAGGTATAGTGCCCACAACACTGAAAATTTTCAACAAGGTCAAATAGTGCAGGGCAGCAGTGACATTCGAAAAAACACTACAATCTGCATCAAAATTCGCAATCTAGGCTATATATAGACGCCATATTCACGTTAATATTTACTGTAGCTCTAGAACATCCATCAGTTGTATTAATTAACAAGAAATATGTCATGGTTAGCGAAAGTCATTTAATGTTGTTTACCCGAACAAGTCCGCCAAAACAGCAGAATTGTGGAAAGCAGCCTTACCTGCTTGGCGTAATTCAGTCGCAAGCTGTCGAGCCACTCGACCTAATTCAGTATTGAGAGCTTTATTTGAAAGTACAGCAACCTTCACGGGAGCCAATGATGGATGCAATCTCAGCTTACTGTGTGTTTTTTTGTTGCCCTTGGAATTAAGGTATTCATTCTCATGGTATGCGTCCAACAGATATGCAAGAATTCCTATGAAAAATATTAAATATCTCATTAGCGACTTCGTGGTAGATTTTTGCTAGTTTTGATGTATGTGTGTTTTTGTTGATTTTTTATGGAGAAAAGTTTCCTATTGTTATTATATAGTTGTTTTTCAAACAGCAAAGACATAAAAATTTTCCAATGAAAACATAATGAAACGGCAAAACCATTGTGCCGTGGCTATATATATCGTGCCTTCATTCTTGTGAAGTCTTTCCTCATTCTTCTTTCCAAATGACCTCATAAAATATTTGAAATTTGCGTACCCAGCCATCATCTTCGTTACCGTAAATTAAGGACTACAGGAACGTGAATAGCGAACTTAAGCAATAGAGACCTTACGATTTTAGGACGGTGATGCGACGACGACGGCCAAAACAAACTCCTTCAAATAAATGGTAGTAAAGATAATTGGTCGTATATTATCAATCGTATGAATTTAATACAGTCTTAGAAGTTGAAGACATGGGTTTTATGGTTGGGGAGAGTTCTGCTGAACCCAGTTTGAAGTTGCACTTGTTGCAGCTTAAAATGCAGCTGTTGTATCAAGACGTGAAAATCTGCGATTGGCGTTGTAAAACAGAGCGAAGGACAAGTCTAAATTATTCATATATCGTAATTATTCAATTCTCTTCAATGATTCATTGTATTGGTAGCCGTTGCCGTCGCGTCCTAAATCGTAAGGTCTCTACTGCTTAATCTAGTACGGGAACGTGACAAGAAGCAACCTTGAATTTTACACTTTTAAAATTATAGAGGAGTACTGTTGTTACGAGTGTCGACGGGCCGGTCGAAAGTGCAACGAGGACGGCTAATAAAATCATATTTATACAAGAGAATGAAATAAACAACTAAAAATCCCACAGAACTTTTAGACGTCGCTAATAATGCTCTGTTTACAACGGCAAAATACACATTAGCACGTCTAGAATACAAGGCTTACATTTCAAGCTGGAACAACTTGTACTTTCAGTTGGGTCCTAAAACTTTCTTAATCATTAACTTCAATGTTAACCTCAGTCTTTAAACTGTATTAGTATTCATACGATGGATAATAGACGACAAGTTTTATTCTGCAATCATTGTGATTGACCGATTGGGCAACAATGGGAAATTATCGATGACCGATTATTCATGCCACAATCTACCCGATACCGATCTCGATTTTATAATGACGTCATAATATCAGTCGACCGAGTAAAGGACGTCATTCATGTCCATTTTTAACGATAATTTCTAACGTAAAATGTTACCGCAACCAAAGATCGTTAAAACCGTTAATAAATGGCACGCTTCACACATTAATTGAACATATTGCGTCAAAATGCCTATATTTTTTTTAATTAAAGTGCGTATTTTCTCAACAATTGGTTTTAGACGATCGGTCTACCGATTCTGAATCTCGGATTGTCTACCGATAAGGCAAAACTCGGCCGGATGTCGATATACCGATTATCGGTCAATCACTAGCAATCATTTGCCTAACATATTCGTTTGCCATCGCCGTCGCGTTCACAGTCGTTGGAGTAATTATTGTTCTCATCTCAGTTGAAGTGAATTTGATGAGTACCATACCTCTTTCCACGCTTAAGGTTGCTAGGACAACGCCCAAATCTTCATCATGGCACGAGTCATTCTTTATTAATTTCCGCACGTCTGAATAACTTGAAATACTCTCGACAGCTTCTTTTCCCCAGGGGAAATTAAACTAAAGGAAACAAAATCCATCTTTAGTTTATACTATCGTCTGCGAACGAACTTGAGTTAAGTAACAACTCAGTTGAGGCATTAACATCCACCGCCTTTTTCCTTGAACATAACACCTCCATATTTTAGGGCTCATACTGCACGTGTACATGTTGAAATTATTTGTAAAAAGTTGGTTGTTGGAATTGCTCGCATGTCATTAGGCGAGTAAAACCTTGAGACACTGCAGGTTAAGGGACCCTGTGAATGGGGCAATAAGCCCTGTAGGGATCACCAGTCATTTCTGACAAAGCTAGTAAATAAATAAAAATAAATAAATAAAGGTTATACATAAATAATCATATAGAGGCCGGGCAAAATTACTCAAATACGATTGGCTAATGATGACATTTTTTCTTAATTCAGGGCGAAATTACTTGTACCTCTTAATATACTTCCGTAGTACACGCCAAAACGTTGACTTGCGACAAATTTTTCATTTTGATACGCTATGGCATCCGGAAGTACGTAAATTTATCAATCTATATTCAATATACGCATGCTCACCAGCACGTTTCGGTACGGTACGCCTAAGGGCGAAGTGGAAAACGGCCTTAATCTGTTCACGCCTCAATGCACATCATCCTTTGTTGTTGGGGCAAGCGTGTTAAAATATTTTTTTATGTATATAACATTTCATGATACACCGATTATGGTGATCGCTCAGTTCCATTTGTGACTGCTCAAGTACCTTTTCTGACCTGTCAACTCCTACGAGCCCTTCCAAAGACAATCAAAATGCTACACAAGTTAAACACATTTTATCAAAAGCGCGTAAATCGTATATTACTGCGTAGAATCCGCTATCTCGAACAGCCAAGAGAAACGCAAAAAAGTTCGATATAATTACAAAAATAATTATTAATAACAACAATAATTAAAGGGACATGGCATGTTCACTTGGTTGTTTGTCACGGATTACAAAATACAATTCACGCTGCCATGAGAAAGTTTGGTTTACTGTACTATAGCGCGTTTTAAAACAAGATATTTATTTATTGCGGTAATACAATACCTAAGCAAGTGTCCGCCCAGTTTCTATGGTGACGCCAACACGAGCTTTTCGGGCTGAATTGGCAGATTGTATCAAGAATATGAGATCTTAGTGTTAGTATTTCGACTAAATTTTCCCCATTCACCCAACATTTTCAGGGATAAATCTCATTTAGGGATTTCATTCAAATTTCATCGGGAAATTTCCAGTGCACAGCTTCGATTTTTTAAAACGTACACAGCACAATTTTAACACGTACTGTAATCGAAAAGTCTGATAAATGGTAATACTAGTTTTTTGAGGAAATAAAGGAACCGCAAGACAAAAACGGAATTCTCACAAGAACTTGACTATTTTAAACCCAAATTAACGAGTAAAGGCCACTAGGCAACCGATCAAGTGGATTTTATGCTAGAGTAATGAGAATTTGTAAATTAATCGATATGAAAAATGGCTATAAAAACTTTTCTTCAGTTATATTATAAAAGAAATAGTCAGAAGACATTTTTCCTTGATGTCTTTACAAGGACAGAAACACTTGTGGTAGTAATAGAGAACTGGAAGAAGGTAGCCTGCGTGGCAGGCGGTATTTCTACAGGCAGCGAAAATTAGGGAGGCAAAGGAAATACCGTCTGCCACAAAACTAGGGGTTTTTGAATTACCCGTCCGCTGGTGAACGGAAAAAACGGCTTGGTTAGTATTTTTATGTAGTTGTCAATCAACGGCTAAATTCGGTTAAATGTTAATCATTAACCAAATGTTTTGATGTTTTGAAACTCTGCGTTTTGCCGTTTTGAAATTAGTTCACAATCACAAGTCAGACCATGCAGAAATGGAATACTGTAATAAAAGAAGCAAATTTAAAGATACAAGCTGAAAAATAACACTCCAAATAGTGTTTTTGATAGCGATTCGAACAAGAATATTTAACAAAGAAGATACGTCCGAAGGGGCCGAAGTTATGATCGGCGAAAGGTATGGGCTAGTCTATATTTTCTTTCAGACAAATACACGCGTATATTAATTTGATAATATACGATCTCGCTTGACTTTCAAAGGCCATATTTTACTAAAACTATCGATAGAAATTAGGATATAATTCTTCACTAAATCGAACGGTGGGATTTTCATATACTGAGGCCTATCATGTTCTGAACCAAAGATACTTGATAGATATACGAACCTACAAAGATCTCCAAAGTATAAACTAGACGTATGGGCCGGTTGATGCAGTAATTATTAAATAACAGTTAAACTCTTAATATATACCCGTTGAATATGTATAGTTGTAAACAAATAAAAACTATCGTTCTATAAGGTTCAAAACTTTCAGTTTGCATGGTCGTTGACTGATGATGGATCTATAGTATAGACTTGCATGCTTTGTATTTTGAGAGCTTATTAACTACCATTTTAAGGCAGCTAAACGGGCGGCTTGGTTTATATTAAAGGCTGCACATAAAATAAATTCCTTGATTCTCATCACTAGACACAGTCTACACTTTGAAATGTCGAAGACAGTGGGAGATTTATTTTTATATTTTATATTTATATAATTTATATATCAATAGTTCGTATCTCCACGAACAATGACAGAATGACTGAGTTTCTTTAAAATACAATGAAATTTCATTCAAAATTCTGTTTGTTTGAAATTGGAAGTTTAAATTGGCACTAAAAACCCTATATAAAATATAAAAAAATTAACTGTCTTGAATTATTTTGTCGGGCGGTACATTTATATTGTATTTAACAAATATAAAACATTTTCCGTGTTGATATACAGTTATATCAACACGAGTGGAAATTGGGAAAACGAGAAATGGTGTGGAAACACGACGCCCGAAGGGCGGAGTGTTTTCATACAATTTCGAGTTTTCCCAACTTCCACGAGTGTTGATATAACTATATATCAATACGGAAAAAATGTTTTATATTTGTTTTATAATATAGCAATGTCAAAAGCCCGAAGAATAAGAAAAATTTCCATGTTTACAAGCGGCGGAAAATTTCCCGTGTTGACATGGAGTTATATCAACACGGCCCTTAGCCAATCAGCGTTCAGAATTTACAAATGCTATATTATAAAACGAAATATAAAACATTTTCACGAGGATTTTAAAATTCAGTCGGGCGGTGATGATAATCAAGGAATTTAATATTTTATGTTGAGACTTGGTAGCAACTTGGGAGTGGCTAATTTTGAATATTTACTTAATGACATCTATAAATAGCTTTGATGCTTCAGGGGCGGTAGTTCATTTAACCCAGTTTTGCGTCAGGCGGTATAAGTACCGCCTGCCATGCAGGCTAGAAAGAAGGTGGATATTTACACGCTATTCGGGCTCGTTTTTTCACTGATTATTTCTCGTTCTGTAGATGGAAATTTCGACCTGAACATTATATATGCCAAAAAATCGAGATGCCCAGAAACCTCGATATTTAGCCATACCTTATACTGGCCTCACCCACACTACAGTATAAATAGACTGTGATACTACTATAGTCTTGAAGTCTCAGAGAACGTTAAGTTGCGGTTTGAGCTTGATAACTAAACACTGTAACTCAGTTGGTTAGAGCGCTGCACCGGAATCGCAGAGCCGCAGGTTCGATTCCTGCCAGAGGCCCTATATAGTTGAATTTTTAGCTCTAAAATTGTACATAATCATAGATATGAGATATCTATGTACATATTAATCTTCTGTTCGAAGTATCCATCTACAAAAAACCTTCGACTGGTATTTCTATCCTAAATATCTCACCTGAACTGCCATGGTATCTTCCAAGGCCTCATCACCATCCTGAATGAACTGTTTTCTGCAATCTTCGTCAACTAAAGAAAATTCTGCGGGAATTTCAGCATATTTTATCCACCAAGATAATCTTTTTCTCATCCAGTAATCCATCCAGTAATTGACTTTGTTTGGTGGGCAGAAAAAACACAGCTGGTAAAATTCTTTCCTCTGTGATCTGACAAAATAAAATACAATAGTATGTACTTTCCAATATTCCCAGGGTACACCAGGGTCACCAGGGGTAACCTACATATGTTTAATAGATTACTCATGCAGGCAATCAGCGTTTGACTGATATTTAGACTAATAATATGGATACAACGGAGAATGGTCTAATATTTATACTAAATGATACAAATGCTTAATAAATATATGTTATTTACCGGCTGCGAGGTCCAGATGAGAAAAACTGTGTCCGAGGTCTTGAAAACGGCCCGAGCCCGAAGGGTGAGGGACGTTTTCAAGACTGAGGGCACAGTTTTTCTCATCCGGACCGACGCTGCCGATAAATAACGTCTTTATTTTTATCAGATGTAAAATTAAACTCATTAAAATTCCAGTGTTACATGCGAAATACGGAGATCAGTGCGGTTGTGTATTAAAGCGACTAAACGAGACTGACAAAAATTAAAAAGTTGAAAGATAAACACGAACACGAAAACTCAATGTAAAGGAATCTGTTTTGATTTAATCAACGCTTACGCTTTTCTACAAAAAGGATAATGAAGAAGGTATGCTGTTTTAAATTCTGTATTTTTCTGGTCGTTTCACGATCATAATATGCTTAAAAAATGTGTTTTTAAATAGACTTTCACTTTGTTATCAAATAACTTTTTGACTTCCAGTCGCATTTCTCTCAAAATATTGTCAATTCTGGTGTACATCGTGCTTAGTATAAAGTCGTTAGGGCTTGATGCAATTCATTTTCGTATTCTGACTCTCTTTAGGCTACGTTTTTCGAACGTTTTGGGCAGATTTTTTAGTTTAAAAATTGTTTCACTCCTCGGTTTTTGGCGCAAAACCAAAGCGGCAGGCAGTTGCATTTCACAGCGGGCAGTTGCGTTTCGAAGCGGGTCGGGTGAAAGGCTCCTCAGCCAATCAGATTGCCTCATTTTCACTGATAAAAAATACAATTATCATTCACTTTATAGTATTCTCAATTTTGATTGGTTAATTTACCTGCAAATAACTGCGTGCAAATAATAGTCTGAGCATGCGCATTTGTTAAAAACGTTGCTCAGCTACAAATAATAGTCTGAGCATGCGCATTGCCTTCAATTTTTGTAAACAATGGCGGCTCGCTTTGCTGAACTTTCGGAAAATGAGTTGTCTTGCTTACTTAAAGAAAAAAACGCGGAAAATAAAAAAGCGACTAAAACCGCAGTCAATGTCTTTCGCCAGCATTTAAAAGCAAGATAAATCAACGAAGACGATCTAGTTGGCTCAAAATAAACTCTTGCCAGTGTCCTTCGCAACTTTTTATGCAGAACCAAGAAAGAGAGACGGCGAACTTATATAGTAAACGAAAGATAAAATTAAGCTTTATAAGTGAATGATAAAACAATTATTGAACTCGATTCTCGCAAAATATCGTGATTTGTCGGTGGCTCGCAGATCAATTATTTGCCTCTGCCTTCGGCATCGGCAAATAACTGATCTGCTCGCCACCGACAAATCACGATATTTTGCTCAACCTCGTCCAATAATTGATAATTATTATATGGCAAAGCGATATAATAATTGTGCTTTTTGGGGGTTTTTAAAATTCATATTCTTACTATTATTATGGAAAGATTTTGCTTTCACCAATGGTAAAATATATTTTTTACAAGTAAGTGTCTGATTGGATCTCTTGGTTGGTAGATTGAACATGTCAATTAGTCGGCCGGCCAAGCAAGCCCGTAGCTGGCTCTCCATTTCTAGGGGGGCACTGCTGAAAAATTTAGAAGAGGGGATGTTTTTGTGCTAGTTTCTGGTCCCAGCCCTGGAAAAATTGGTAAAAATACGTTATTCTGGGCCGTGAAGAACATTAGATTACTTTATTTCTTAAAACTTTAAATAACATAGAGAATCAAAAAGATAAGATTTCTTTATCGAATACTACATTCAGTAAAATTCCATGAAACTTCCAATGATTTTTTCCTTTGATTATCTGCATATCTCATCAGAAAATTCCCGAATTGTTTGTCATGCATATATAAATATGGGAGCCACAGCAAATATAATCTGATTAATTGACAAAAGACAGTATAGTTTATAGGCATCGCCGTTTTAAAGTAAACCAGGGTCAATTGTACAGTACTGCCAAGAAATAACTTATCAAAAACCGCGTCCAAGACGCGGGCATCTTGCGTCCACTGTGCGTCCACGGGCGCCCGCGGGTGCGTCCGTCCTGCGGGCGTCGTGCGTCCACTGTGCGTCTGCGGGCGCTTGCGGGTGCGTCCACTGTGCGGGCGCCATGCGTCCGCTTTGCGTCTGCGGGCGAGGACGCAGCTGAGAAAGAGTTCTATTCGTAGATCGTCGGAAATTATCGCGTTTCGCTTTTCATAAACAAACCGTGGGCGTCGGAAAATATTCATGTTAGCGATTTCACACCACATTTTTATGCTTATATACACATGCGTTACAGACCTAGAATCCTAGATATTTATATTTCTAATATTAAACTTACCGTGAAATTTCAGAATTTGTGCTTCGTAAAGTTCCTTTTCGTATTTGATCTCTACTTTCGCACTTTCGTATAACGTTTGGTTTAAACCCAGTAATCTTTTAACGTTGCCGGTTGGCAAAATGCACGTATGGTTTTATATCTTCTTCGAAGAAACCCAAAATACGTTTTGGTTGACGAGTAGCGATCGATACCTCATTTTATTAGTCTGATAGTAATACGGATCGAGTGATATTAGTCTGAGCTCTTCACTTCAGCTTTAGCGAATTATACTGCAACTTTGAAAATCAAGCGATGAGTCACAGTCACTGAACCGTGTTGAAACACAAAGACTGTTTCCTGGACATGTAAAGGTATTCCATTAAGGGATTAAGAGAAGTCATTTATCCAGAAATTATATGGTAATTATCAATTTATATGACATATCACCATGTGCATTTACTGCTTTGGAAAAACAACACAAACTTGTTGCTGTAAATAAAGTTATATAGTGGCTCGTAGTAATGGTATTTTATATGAAAAATCAAAAGCACTATATATATTGTAAATGAGCATCTTCGTTTTAATATACTGACGAGTTACGGCGACATAATATTATTCAAATACAGAATTGCATATCAACTAATCGGCAATCTTCTACGAGGTAAGTCAGAATTTGAGTAGCAAATGAATGTATTGCGAGATACATACTCGTTGTAGTCGTGATCTCACTGAGTTTAGTATATGTGTCTACATTATATTTATATATAGTTTATGTCTATTTTACGCTCCAATATACAGTCATATACGCTTCGATCGCCACTCCAGTACGTGTGATTGAATTGTGAAAGCACTACGCTTACTGTAGTATAACGTATAACATTATAAAATGGTTATACTAAGTGTAACGCTTAGGTTCAATGAAACTCGATTTCGGATTCAACTTTTTATTCTTTGCTTCTCCGATCAGTGACACTGATCTGTATTCTCACGACAAACTACGAGTATGATGCAAATATTAGTTCGTTTTTCCGATTATGTTACGACGACTGCGTCCAAGCGGACGCAGTTTTTAACTAGAGGCTGGACGCGGGCGCTTTGGAGGCAGGACGCGGGCAGAGCAGACGCAAGACGCGGGCGTCGTGGAGGCCGGACGCGGGCGCTCTGGAGGCAGGACGCGGGCAGAGTAGACGCAAGACGCGGGCGCTCTGGAGGCAGGACGCGGGCAGACGCGGGGACAAGTTATTTCTTGGCAGTACTGTAGCTTCGGCAAAAATTTATTAAAATCAAAAGAACAAATTTTGTGGGTTCGGGGGGTCAATTCTATTTCCGGATGGGGTCCCCAACCCACCCCCACTACGGGCTTGCGGCCAAGGTGGCAAAAAGTGCCTCTAAAGAGAGTTCGATGGCAACTTTATGTTAGAAGCTGGTAACAGGAATTTTCTTCTAATTTAAGCCTTGATGAACAAGACTATATGTGTTAACCACTTCTGATTTTTGCTTTATAGCCGAAAATTTGAGAATTTTAAAAAATTTTCGAAAAACATAAAACTCTCTTAATTGTCTTAATTGATTTAATTATTTAGTCACTTTCAGTTTAATACTGTTCAGTAAACTTAACTAATGTATCGAATATTGTCAGAACGATCCGTCGTAGCTGTTACGGATATCCTGCTTTGATTTATAGATCTATACAGCAAGTGATTATTTGATGGGCCACTGAAGGCAATGTTTGATAAATTGAATTAAAATAACAAGTAAAAACACGATTTTTATCACATTTAAATGCTGACAGATTTGCTGCCATTGCCGAATGGCTTTTTTGGCAAACTAAGGTCCCACTGAACTAAAAACTGCTCTGCTTTCAACTTGTAATATATTAATTAATATCTGAAAATATGTTGTAATTATCATTTTATCGTAAGGTTGTATAACGTTGGCATGAAATTTATCATCAAATCACCATCTTTCTCAATCTCATCATATAATTTGATGCTGGGGGTAAAATATGTACAGTCTGTGGAAAACAACCATGAGGCACATAATTTGCACGAAGTCTTTTGCTGCAATGTTTTTAGTCCTCACCTATTTAGTTCCAAATCCTTATTCCAACCACACTACTGTTAATTAATCCAATGAGCATTTAAATTTCTGAAGGGGTGCAAAATATTTGGGGAGTACACACTCCCCTGCTGGCGCTGCATCCCCCAAGAAAATCCATCTATGGAACATTCTGAGTAATATCTTTATATACCCATCTGAACATTCATAACTCATCCGCTCGTTCACATGCATCAGGAGAAAATCACACCAGATACTGCGGCAAAAATGGCTTAAACGGAATGCCAAAACATATGGGAACCTTATATCAAATGGGATACCAGATTCTCAGCAGGATACAATAACTTTGAATACTGACCCCAGCATGATATTGCAACAAATGTTAAAGGTGATGTAAAGTCTGTTCTGCGCACGCCAACATTCCAATGAATGTTGAACTTTCTTGAATTGAATCTCTAGTCTGTATTCATTTATAAGCATAGCGAACCAGAAGAGTGTTAAAAATTCAGTATAATATATATCTAATCATATTTTACAACTGTTGCACTGAATTCAAAATGTAAACAAAGTGTTTGTTTACATTACGGACTTTACATCACCTTTAAATTTCAGACAAGAGGTATATATTATCTAATAATATACATATTATAATACTGTTGCATAATGATAATATCGTCACTTATCTAAAGTGTTGGAATCTGCATTACTGTGTTAATAATACAGGTATACCTGTCCAATAATAAGCCCATGGGCTTGTACCAGGGTCTGAAATTTAAATATATTTTCTCAGTATCCAACTGGGATATCAGGATTCAAAGTTTAGTATCCCCCTGAGAATGCAGTATCCCACTTCTGGATACCATAAGTATTCTACCCTGTCCCATCCAATAACTCTCGCTGTTACAAGCTATCAGGAGACTGTCAGAGGTGCTTAATAGGGATGAGCCGATAAGGAAAATTGCCGATTACTGAGGCCGATTATTTATAAGCCGATTATCGTAACTAATCGGCCGATTAATCCGTACCCGCCGATTATATTAAAAAGCAAGCGAAAAATCACAAGATGACCAACAATGAAGTTGTAAATGCAGTTTTATTGTTTACAATACACATTACGTACAATTGAAAACAGCTTCAATCTTGCATGTCAATAGTCAAAGTTTAGTTTTGGCAGATTATGGTGTAAAAACAGGACATTGTCAGCTAT